GACAGAGTTAAAACCTCATTTTTCCTGTAGGTCTTCATTCTTTTTAAGTCAGGGAGCTTGTTAAAAGCTTGGATTCATAGGCTGTAGTCCAAACTAAGGACTCATACCTCTGGGAGTGAGGCCAGGAACCTCCGGATGAAAAGGGCGCCTCTGGTGTGTCTGAAGCGGCTGTTGCCCTGGGCTCACGGTCGTGCAGCGGGCGTTCAGTCCACAGAGGGCCAGGGGCCAGGGCAGCAGCACCCAGGGCCTCCCTTCTGGAGGGGCTCCATGCTGTAACCTGTCCTGAAGCTTAGCTCCTCTCTGCTTTTTTTTCTCTATGAAGATGTTCTTTGCAAGGAGCTTTCATTTGTGTAAGACACTGGGAGCTGAGAGTATGAGAAGAAGTGAAAGTGATAAGGGTCCTACTCCTTCCAGGCTGGCTTCCAGGCTGGGTTGGCAGCAGCCTTTCTATTCAGGTATTCTGGTAGAGCACTGGAAAGCCAAAGGCATATGGGCCAGGATAGCTGCCCAGTGGGTGGGGATTAAAGGGCCATAGCACGGGCCACCCATCCAGATCTGTACTATTAAGTCAACACACAGTGCATCAGAATAAAGAGCCAGAGTAGGCCGGGTGCGGTGGCTCACTCCTGTAATCCCAGCACTTTGGGAGGCTGAGGCAGGCGGATCACTTGAGGTCAGGAGTTCGAGACCAGCCTGGCCAACATGGTGAAACCTCATCTCTACTAAAAAATACAAAAATGCCGGGCGCGGTGGCTCACGCCTGTAATCCCAGCACTTTGGGAGGCCGAGGCGGGTGGATCACGAGGTCAGGAGATCGAGACCATCCTGGCTAACACAGTGAAAACCCCGTCTCTACTAAAAATACAAAAAATTAGCCGGGCGTGGTGGCGGGCGCCTGTAGTCCAGCTACTTGGAGGCTGAGGCAGGAGAATTGCGTAACCCAGGAGGCGGAACTTGCAGACTCCAGCCTGGGCAACAAAGCAAGACTCCTCTCAAAAAAAAAAAAAATACAAAAATTAGCTGGGCTCATGTGGAGGCGCCTGTAATCCCCAGCCTTGGGAGGAGCTGAAGCAGGAGAAACAGCTTGAACCCAGGTAGGGGAGTGCAGTGAGCTGAGATTGTACCACTGCACTCCAGCCTGGGCAAAAGAGCAACAGTCAATCTCAAAAAAAAAAAAAAAAAAAGCCAGGATTAGTCCCCAGTCGGCAAAGCCAGACTTTTAACTTGAAAAACTTCAACATTTAGAAACAATTTTGTGAATCAGAAGGACAATCCAAACCACCGAAGCATAGGAAAAAAAGCCTGATGTCATCACACGTTTGAATGATAAAAATCAGTTCCTGGCCAGCTGTGGTGGCTCACACCTGTAATCCCAGAACTTTGGGAGGCCGAGGTGAGTGGATCACAAGGTCAGGAGTTTGAGACCTGGCCAATATGGTGAAACCCCGTCTCTACTAAAAAAAATTCAAGAATTAGATATACTGAGTTAAATAAAAGTTAAATTCACCTGTTTGGTTTTTTACTTTCAAAATGTGAATTCCAGAAAAATCTTAATTACCTATGTGGCTGTCATATGTGGTTTGCATTCTATTTCATTTAGGTACTGCATATCTTAGATGGAGCCATGGCCAGCCCAGAATCTGGGAGGGGCTGGGAACTAATTTTTTTTTTTTTTTTGAGAGACAGAGTCTTGCTCTGTTGCCCAGGCTGGAGTGCAGTGGCGTGATCTTGGATCACTGCAACCTCTGCCTCCTGGGTTCACGCCATTCTCCTGCCTCAGCCTCCCGAGTAGCTGGGACTACAGAGGCCCGCCACCACGCCCGGCTAATTTTTTTGTATTTTTAGTAGAGACGGGGTTTCACCATATTGTCCAGGCTGGTTTCAAACTCCTGACCTTGAGATGCACCCACCTTGGTCTCCCAAAGTGCTGGGATTACAGGTGTGAGCCACCGCGCCTGGCCAGGAACTAATTTTTATCATTCAAACGTGTGATGACATCAGGCTTTTTTTCTAAGCTTCGGTGGTTGATTGCCCCTCCTGATTGATAAAATCTGTTTCTAAAGATGTGCAGCTGTTCAGGTTTAAAGTCTGGCTTGCTGACCGGGGATCTAATCTGGCTCTTTTTTTTTTTTTTTGGAGATGGACTGTTGCTCTTTCGCCCAGGCTGGAGTGCAGTGGCGCGATCTCGGCTCACTGCAACCTCCGCCTCCTGGGTTCAAGCTATTCTCCTGCCTCAGCCTCCCAAGTAGCTGGAACTACAGGTGCCCATCACCATGCCCGGCTAATTTTTGTATTTTTTTAGTAGAGATGAGGTTTCACCATGTTGGCCAGGCTGGTCTCGAACTCCTGACCTCAAGTGATCCGCCCACCTCGGCCTCCCGAAGTACTGGGACTACAGGCACCCACCACCAGGTCCGGCTAATTTTTTTTTTTTGTATTTTTAGTAGAGACGGGGTTTCACCATGCTAGCCAGGATGGTCTCGATCTCCTGACATCGTGATCCGCCCACCTCGGCCTCCCAAAGTGCTGGGATGACAGGCGTGAGCCACTGCACCCAGCATAAAGTGATTGTTAAACAAAGAAAGTGAAGAAGGAAAACCTCAAGCAGAATTTCCTCTTCCCCCTCCCCCCTGCCAGGTAAGCTGGTCAGCAAAGCCAAGCACGCCTTCCACCAGTGTTCCGGGATGAACTCGGAGCTGACATTCCTCACTGCGCCATCTGAGGGACTTGCCCCACTCGGGCGCTCCACCTCTCACTCACAGGCCAGACCATCCTGTGAACTCCTCCTGCCAAGTCACCTGCTTTGCCTGTTTTCCCTGCTGTTCTCCTTTCTGGCCAGCTCAGCTTTATCCCTTCCCTAGACTTAAAACTCTCTTCTCTGAACTCTGCTGCCATCCCCTTTGCACCTTCATTTTGCCACGAATACCACTGTCCTAACTTTTTCTTCTGCCTCTTACCTTCATGCTGTGCTTCCCAAACTTGAGTCATCAAAAGAATTTCCTGGCCGGTGATGAAACATTATGGATTTCTAGGCCCCACCCCCAGAGGTTGGTAGGACTGGAGCGTGGAGATGGGAACACGTGATAGAACTTCCGGAGAGTCTGAGGACCCGGCCAGCTCGGGGGACGGTCCTAAGGAGAGTCTAGGATTCATGACAGCAAGTTTGAATGGAGATTGCTCTGCCTGTCTTCCTTTCACAGTAGGACCAGTAGACAAAGGTCCCGGCTGTTTTGCTGTCATTGTGTTGTCACCTTTTGGAAGTTCACCCTATCACTGTTGCTCACCTGAGTGGGCCTGTAGCTGCGGCCAAACCGTGTTAACTCTGAGCACAGACCGTGGGCTGCTCTGCTCTGTGCCTCTAGGAGCCCCTGCCTTTTATGATCACCTGTCACAATCCTACCCTTCCTCCGGAACCCCATGAATGCCACTTCTTCCCTGGGGCTTTCCTTACCCCACATACAATACTTCTTTCTTCTTTCTTCTCCCACGTCTCTCTATGTGGCTCTTAGTTAATTCCACCCTGCTTTATATCAGTGTGTGTGTGTCTCCCCACAAGACTGTCCTTCAAGGGAAGGCTCCCTTTCCAATCTCCTTTGCACCCTCCAGCAGGCAGTGCTGAGACTTGCCCAAGAGGCTCATCAATCAACATTGCTTGACTCAGACTGAAAGACAAGACAGCTGCCTCCCGCACCCTTCATCTTTGCCCAGGCAAGCTCTGAGATTCATGACTCCAAATGCAGCAAAGACTCTCGGAAGAAAAATGAGTGAATGAATTGGAAATCGAATGGGTAAACAGGCTGCACCACATCACACAAGTTCCATAAGCCTTTAAAATGGCAGCACACCTGCTCAACATAATTACTGATATAGAGCTGCGTACCTAAGTAATGGAACTGCGTTACACGACAGACAGAGTTCTTATTTACTCTGTGGAATTTTGTCCTTCATTTGATTACAAGCTGGCACAGAATTTGGAAACGTTACCAAACATTGTCCATCTTCAGCATTCCCTTCCTGTCTCTCCTTCCTTATTTCCTTCTACCCATGTGGAGGTGGGGTGGAGGAAGGAGAAAGAACATTAAGAGATTAAACAAACAAACAAACAAAAAACCCTAGCCTAGTTTTTTTTTTTTTTTTTTTTTTTTTTTTTTGAGATGGAGTCTCGCTCTGTCGCCCAGGCTGGAGTGCAGTGGCGTGATCTCGGCTCACTGCAACCTCCACCTTCCAGGTTCACACCATTCTCCTGCCTCAGCCTCCCCAGCAGCTGGGATTACAGGCGCTTGCCGCCATGCCCGGCTAATTTCTGCATTTTTAGTAGAGACGGGTCAGGATGGTCTCGATCTCCTGACCTTGTGATCCGCCTACTTCAGCCTCCCAAAGTGCTGGGATTACAGGCGTGAGCCACCGTGCCCGGCCCTAACCTAGATTTTGCAGTCTGTTTCATCATCTATGTGACTCTGTGTGAAAAACCTCATACATGTTTTTCCTATCCACATGTGACCCTGGCTGTTTAACTCCAAGAGCCAGACATGATGAAGGCGCCCACGTGTTCCATACCTGGACTTCCAGGGCTTGTCTGAGTGTTCATTTACAATTCTTTTAATAAACAAGACAATGTAAACCGACAGCAGTCACCCTCCTCAGCTCCTCAAACGCAGAAAGAGCTCCCGTCTACCTGTCATCTGGATGAACAGTAATTAACAGGCTCTGTGCTAGGCGTTTTACATCATCTCATGGTGAGGAAAGTAAAACTGGTAGTAGAAATAGTAGACTCTTTCCTTGTTGACGAGAAATGTCAAAGATGGTATAACATCTTGGTTCTTGCAGACAGCCTCATGGCCAGACTTCGGTTTCTGGGGAGTAAGACCTTTTGGGCACCTAGGATGCTGCAGGACAACTGCTCCCCAGCTTCCAGGTCCCCCAGTGCTCCTTCTTCCCCATAGGTTTCCAGCTGTGTCCTCTAGCTACGTCCCCTCCATGCCTTACAAGACCGCACTCACCTTTAAGCCGAGCTCCAGCTCCCTCAGCGAGCGCTGCATCTCTCTGGTGAGGATATTCATCCGGCCACACTCCTGGAAGGCAACTACAATGTAGGGGGTGCGCTCCTCCACTTTGGCCATCAGTTCTGGGATGTTAAACTCGTCTGTCACGCGCTCCAATATTTCTTCCAGAAGTGCCTTGACCTGCCCCACAGAAGGAAACACAGCATTAAGAAGGGGCTCTATTCTCCAGAAGGAATCCATTTTCCTGCAGTGTGGGGCCAGAGATGCCAATCATCCATCATCGGCTGCCCCTCCCCCCACTGACCTGGCCAAACGCTTGCCTGCTTGTCCAGGTCAACTAGTTCAGGGCTGAGGACTGACTGATCACAGCAGGACCTCTTCATAGGCTGGCCAAGTTGCTGGGACTTGCATGGCTGGCGTAATAAGATGAACACAGATACCTCTCTAAGAATTTGGAGTTGAAAAACTCAGAGGCTGACCCAGTTGACTGTGGGAATCGAACTAGAAAGCCATAAGACAGACTTGGGCCAAAAGTTGGCCCCTGTGGGCCATGTGAAGCTGAAGTGATGAGCCGCAATGACAAATCTATCTATCTATATCCAGACACATTATATCTATATACAGTTCTATACAATATCTATCTTATCTATCATCTATCGAATCTATCAATCATCTAATCTATCAATCATCTATCTAATCTATCAATCTATCTAATCTATCAATCATATCTATCTAATCTATCAATCATATCTCTATCTATCTATCTATCTATCTATCTATCTATCTATCTATCTATCTGGCCATCCACTCAGTTCTGAGTTTCTATGAGGCAACACTGCAGTTTCTATCCTTGAGTTCTGGAAGAAACACCCTCATCTATCATGTAAACCTCCTGTTGTACCCCACAATTCTTTTCCCCACACAAACTGTCAGCTAATTAGATGAGGGGAGCTGGGACAACTAGGGTCTCTCTCCTGGAAAATTGGAACTGAGGCTCAGAGATTCTGAGTTAATTTGGGGCACTTGGAGGTTGAGTCTGCCATTGTGGAATAAATGAGTAAGCCCAGGAGGTCTGTCAGCAGAGAAAGAAAGATGAAACCATTGCAGACATAATAGACCACACAGCCAGCAGGTTGGGACAGAGGGAGAGAGGGGAGGGAGGGAGTGAGCGAGCGAGCACCAGCCCCTTTCTGGAGTCCTGAGAGCTGAGCTCTAGGTGCCTGTGGAGGATATCTGTTGTTTTTGTCTGTTCATTCTCTCTCTTCCCTTCTAGGAACAATTCCCTATCTCCTTTGTGAAACTATGTCTTCCTCATTGTTTGATGTTTATGTTTAGTCACTGGGCCCAGTTTCCCCTGAACCAAGTTAGGCCAATCAGATTATGTTTCCCAGGAGCACAACAAATTGAATCTCAAGCCTGGAATCCAAGGAACCACTGGCAGGATGGAGGTGCCTGGAAAGGACGGTCTACCCTTCTTTTACCTGGGACTCTAGAGCCATCGTGATTTTTATCTGTTCTTAGCTTGACTCCCTTGATAGAATGAGCTATTTCTTGCCTAGTTAAGCAATGTTGGTGTCTATTGCTTGCAACCAAGGAGGCCTGACAGAGTTAATAGTTCTGCCATGCATTACCCATGTGAACGTAAGCAAGTTGCTTAGGCCTCAATTTTCTCCAGCTGTAAATAAACACGTCCAAGAGTGCCTTTTTTTCTACTTGTCCCCTTTCCCAACTCCCAGAGTTGATGTGAAGATCAAATCAAATGAGCTGATGAGTGTGGCCGTCTCCGAAAGCTATAAAGAACTGTGTAAGTGTAAAGGATGATAAATATTCACCTTGCCTTGTATTGTTAACATACAATGCCATCTCCAGGAAAAGAGCTGATGTTGGAAAAAAAAGAAAGTAAAAACCAATCACTCTGTCACGAATGGGTCTTTGGTGCTGTCATAGCAAAAACTGGAATCGGATTTTAATAGTACCTGAGAGCGGCTGCTGGGGTAGAAGACAAACGGCTAAAATTATATATATATTTTTTCTCTGGAGCAGAGTTTGAAAAAACGGCTCTATATCAGTGAGCTTCCATTTGGACATGATTCACAAAAAGATGAAAAGATCATCTGGAGGTATTGTTCCAAAATACATAGGATGTGGGGACACAGAGTTCTTTTCATCTCTGATCAGACTGTCAAGGGTGTGGGGGCCTGAGGAGGGAGAGGGCTGATAGGGAAGGGCCCAGGTCCGCAGATGTATGCAGGGCCTTCTTTTGCTCAAGGAACCCAGAGACTCTCAGATAGGAAGAGTGGGTTCCAAGGGATGGGGTCCACTTTATTTCCACAGACAAACACTTCTGCTTTCTTCCTTTTCGGAAAAGTAATAAATGCTTATCAGAAAAATCTAAACATTTCTGATACACATGATATGAGAAGCATAGTCCTCCCACAGTCTTAACTCTTCCCCCAGTGGGAGAAAAACACTGTTCGACTATTAGTTTTTTGGTGTATATTCCTGCAGATGCCCTTGAGTGTATATAACTCTATTCCTCTATCATCCATCCATCCATCCATCAACTACCTATCCATCAGCCATCTACCCATCACCCATCCATCCATTCATCCATCCATCAATTATCTATCCATCATCACCCATCTATCCATCACCCATCCATCCATCCATCATCTATCCATCACCCATCCATCCATCCATCCACCCATCGATCCATCCATCCATCCATCATCTATCCATCACCCATCCATCCATCCATCCACCCATCCATCCATCCATCCATCCATCCATGTGTCTATCATGCCAGCCTCTCTTCTCTCTCCTTCTCTTTAGCTATATACTAAAAATCCCCAGCTTCCCTTCATATAGATGTAAATATGGGAGGAGAATTAAGTCAAGCGTTCATGAGTGTATGTGGAGTGTGCAACCTCTTGGTCATTTACTTCTTAACAACAAAATACTCTCTGGGCTTTGACTCTTTGTCCCTCATCTTGAGCTGGACTGCTCTGTGGACAGGAAGGAACATAGCTCAGAGGAACAAGTGAGCTATGTGAGAAATAGCACCATGGCCAAATACTGGGATACTGCACAATCAGATGTGCACCCAGTAACTTGCCCACTTGTCCCATGCAGCACTGTGCATGGCAAGGAATCACAGTTTATATCGTTTCGAAATACACACACAAGCACATACACACACCCCATTTCTTGGGTTAGCTTGGGGAGGGGATAAGGAAATGATAAGCATTAGAACCTTCTTTGAACCTTGACTGAAGACTTCTAAGTCTATTACTTATACAGTCTCAGCCTTTTTCAGTTTTAGATCTAGCAACGTGATTCATTCTGGGTGGGTTCTTCTCTTTATTTTCAAACTATACATCAAATAGTGGAATGGACTGAGGAGGGTCATATGGAGCAGCTTTCTCAAAGTATGCTCACCTCATCAAAATCACTAGGTTGCCAGTGCAACCTAACCCCAGGCCTCGGAGTCAGAATTGCAATCTCTCTGGCACCTTCTTAGGCATATTAAAATTTGAGAAATACTATTTTGATGACATGACTCCATATCTTTATATAAAAGTCCAACTCTTTTAGTATCAGTTTGCTTTCCTAAAATCGGTCTCTAGAGCCTAAAAGTTGGATAATCTTCCCAAGGACGTTTACTTGTAAACCTAATGGTATCTCTAAATTAAAGAACCTAAGTAGGACCGGGTGCAGTGGCTCGCGCCTATAATCCTAGCACTTTGGGAGGTCAAGGTGAGAGGATTTCTTGAGCCCAGGAGTTCAAGACCAGCCTAGGCAACACAGACCTTGTCTCTACAAAAAGTTAAAAAATTAGCAGGGCGTGGTGGTACACACCTGCAGTCCTAGCTACTCAGGAGGCTGAGGTGGAAGGATTGCTTGAGGTTAGGAGTTGGAGGCTGTAGTGAGCTGTGATTATGCCACTGAACTCTCCAGCCTGGGTGATGGAGTGAAATCTTACTCAGAAAAATTTAAATTAAAAAAAAAAAAAAAAATCCAGGCAGTGCCATGAGGTGGATGTGAGCTGGTACAAATACGTCTTTAGGAAGTTGGTTAGCTTGTCTCAGAAAAAATTTCATGGAGAAATCTCCCTTTAGTGTCTTTTTTTTTTTTTTTTTTTTTTGAGACGGAGTCTTGCTCTGTCGCCAGACTGGAGTGCAGTGGCGCGGTCTTGGCTCACTGCAACCTCCGCCTCCCAAGTTCAAGTGATTCTCCTGCCTCAGCCTCCTCCCAAGTAGCTGGGATTACATGTGCCTGCCACCACGCCCAGTTAATTTTTGTATTTTTAGTAGAGACGGGGTTTCACCATGTTGGCCAGGCTGGTCAGTGACCTCATGATCTTCCCGCCTCGGCCTCCCAAAGTGCTGGGATTACAGGCGTGAGGCCCATTCTTTTTTTTTTTTTTTTTTTTTGAGATGGAGTCTCGCTCTGTTGCCCAGGCTGGAGTGCAGTGGTGCGATCTCAGCTCACTGCAAGCTCCGCCTCCTGGGTTTACGCCATTCTCCTGCCTCAGCCTCCCGAGTAGCTGGGACTACAGGCGCCCGCCACCTCGCCCGGCTAGTTTTTTGTATTTTTTAGTAGAGACGGGGTTTCACCGTGTTAGCCAGGATGGTCTCGATCTCCTGACCTCGTGATCCGCCCGTCTCGGCCTCCCAAAGTGCTGGGATTACAGGCTTGAGCCACCGCGCCCGGCCGAGGCCCATTCTTTCTTTATCCTCAGCTACCCCCATACCAGGATCAGAGCCCCCACGTTGCCTTGGGTTGTCCTGAAACCCACACCTCACCCTGGTCTGCCTTTCTACTCCATAATTCCCTTCCACCTTCCTAAAATTTCAGGAGGTCCTGTGCTTAGTAGCAGGTAACTGTGTGTTAAGAGACTCTCTGACTAGAAGCCATTCACACAAAGAGAAGGCATTTGCATTGTGAAGGAGCGTGTTATTCCCCACCAGCATCTGCTTGGTGAACTGAGGTGGGGGTGCTTAGGGTCAGCCCCTTGCCCATCCTTGCTTGGTTTGCCAGGGAATCAGGAAGTCGCATTCAAAGTTCCCAAGCCACCACTGTTCAGCCCTGCCCTTTCTTCACTTTGGCAGAGAAGCTGAATAAAAATGGACTTTGGGTGGACTGGCAAAGCAAACTGCTGAACCCCATGGCAGGAACTTCCTATGATTTAACTGATGGCCAGCACGGTGATGACGGGGGAAGGGAGAGGCTCTTGGTGGTGTCAGGCCAGCATCTCCAGGCTGCAGGTGGTTGCTGCCTTGTGTGTTGTCTATGCTGTGTACTGCCAAAATGGCCAGCAGGGGAAAGATGTGCATCTCTGATCCTCGGGCTCCCCCAGAACGACCTCAGGCAGCCCCCACCACACACACCTTTTCTTCTCTTGTGGCCCTCGCTCCTTCTCCGGCCTGGCTGTCCCGAGGCTGCAGCTCCAGCACAGTGCGGAAGAGCTTTTCTGAGGTTTGGGTCAGGAAGCCAATCTCTGCGTTTGGGTGGAGGCCATAGAGGTAGGGGGATTCTGGGGGCAGCTCAGCATCGATGTACTGAAAAATCAAGGGCAAGTTCGATTAAAAAGCAACCAACACATACCTCCCATCTCCCACACCGGCTTGTCCTCTGCAGGGAGTCCATGGGCTGGTGTCCTCCCTCCAGGGACACTGCTCGCCATCCCTGGTTGACTTCAGCACCCTCTCCACCTATTAGTGCACCTTGACATCATCTGTTTTTGTCGGCTGGACCCGTTTCCCAGAACTTCCACATTCATTCTATCGTTCTTTCTTTTCTGGGATGCTTAGATGACTTTATCTATCTCCAGTCCCGCTGCCTCCCACTGCTCCCTGATGACTCTTGTTCCTGCAGACCAGAGGAGGACTTCTCCTAGTCTTTCAAAAATACGCATCCCTCCCTCCCTGGTGATTTTACTTAAGCTCTTCTAGGATTCCAGACCTTTCCTTCTTCTTTTTCTCTCCCCTCCATCTAAATCAGACATGACAAACCTGAACACATACATGGGATGGCATATGCAAAATAAGCTAGTGAATTGGGCTTAGGACGAGGGAGGTGAGATTGGCTGCGAACCAGAGAGTGTGCGCCGCTGGTGAAAGGTATTCAAATAAAACAAATTTTCAAACTGTGTGTCACCCAAGCAACTCCTTTCTGTGGTCAGTGCTACTGGCCAGAGTCTGCCATGCCTAATGCCTAAAAATCCTCCCCAGCAGCTAAGGCTCAGTTTTTTAATTTATTTGTTCGTTTGTTTGTTTTGGAGCCAGGCTCTCACTCTGTTGAAAAAACTAGAGTACAGCAGCACTATCACAGATCACTGAAGCCTCCACCTCCCAGGCCCAAGTGCTTTCCACCTCAGTCTCCCAAGCAGCTGGAACTACAGGTACATGCCGCCATGCTCAGCTGATTTTTTAATTTCCATTTTTTGTAGAGACAAGGTCTCACTATGTTGCCCACTGGTCTCTAACTCGTCAGCTCAAATGATCCTCCAGCCTTGACCTCCCAAAATTCTGGGATTACAGGCGGGAGCCCCCGTGCCTGGCTCTGAATGCTTTGAGTGCCTCTTCATGACTCTTTTCACGATGGTGGGAAAATATCCCTCAAGTTCTGTCCCTGATATCATTTTGATGATTCCTTGGTGTTATTAACACCTAGTGTAATACATTGCTCATTCCTCAAAGGCCGATTTGTATGTTCATTTTTGTATTTCCTCCAGCGTTCTGTGCAGGTCTGGAATCTATGTGGATGCCCTAGAACCATCTATTAACTGACACATTAAAGAGAAGTATAAAGAAAGAGAGTGTACCTCCGTCATTTGGAAATGTGCAAATCAATTGCACTCTTGCTGAATAAAGAGAACCAGACTTTGCCTGTTACTTGCTCCAGTCGCCTGTCGAATTATCCCACGGACACTAGGGGACGCTGTTGCACAATTTTCCTGGGTAAAGCCTTCTTGCCTTTGGTGAAGTAGTTAAAAACCATTTCCTCTTATTTTCCTTAAAGAGCTTTATTGTTTTAAATCTCTTCTTATAGGTCCAATTTTTCTGGATCAAATGACTTTTACGATTTACCCTTAAGTTTTATGAATTAAAAAAAATTTTTTTTAACTTACAGTTAATATTCCTATGATCAATATTTCCCTTATGTTTTATATTCAAGAGTTTTTCTAGGCATGTTCAAAAGCCTACCAATAAAAACTGTTAAAAAATATCTTTCAGAATGTTTTCCATGGTAGGTGAAATAGGCAAAGATGAATACTTTAAACATAGCTGTGGTAACAGTAACATAAAAGACCGAAGTAATAGTAAGAAAACCTCCAAGAGGCTGGGCGCGGTGGCTCACGCCTGTAATCTCAGTGTTTTGGGAGGCCGAGGCAGGTGGATCACCTGAGGTCAGGAGTTCAAGACCAGGCTGGCCAACATGACGAAACCCCATCTCCACTAAAAAACACAAAAATTAGCCGGGTGTGGTGGTGGGCGCCTGTAATCCCAGCTACTCAGGAGGCTGAGGCAGGGAGAATAGCTTGAACCCAGGAGGTGGAGGTTGCAGTGAGGTAAGATCGCGCCACTGCACTCCAGCCTGGGTGACAGAGCAAGACTCGGTCCCAAAAAAGAAAAAAAAAGAAAACCTTCATGAGAATGCTGACTGTGGCATACGCATGTGGTATGTGCCTGTGCCCACAGCCACCAACAGGGAGTGGGAGGGGTGAGTGATCTGAGTGATCTTGGCACAAGATCATTCTCCTCCAGGGATATTTAGAATCACTGACAGAAACTTTACCAAAAGTTGGCTAAGGTCTTGCCTGAAATTTTGCTCCATGACAAGTGGCTTTGTCAACATTCCAAGTGAAAACCACCAAATAACTGTCCCAGATGTTATTTGTAGAAAATAGCAACACAGAGAACGACTGAAGCAAACATCAAGAATGGAAAGCTCTCCAAAGGCTCCATTTGATTATTAATTTGAGGCTAGAAGTCCTGTATCTCTCAACTTAAACAGGGCAGGCTTGGGGCATAGGACCAGATTTGGCATGAGCTCAGCTGTCTAAGCCCCTCTGTCCCAGCCCCTGCTGGCAGCCATGGTGATGGCCCGGCAGCAGCTTCCCTGGTGGTTCAGGTCAGCGTGGGAGGAACACCCAGGTCCCTGTGAGCACCCTCACGCCATCAGAAGCACAGAGCAGAGCCTCACCTGATGATAACCATTGTAGTCCATGTTGCCTGGGAGTGGGAACCCTGGGGCCAAAGACAGTTCTCCTTCTAACATTTCCGGTCGAATGAATTCCTCCAGGTAGGTTCTGCAGAGTCTTCTGTCCCAGTCGTCTGTGATGTGGCCTCCATACATGATCTCTCCAAATAGGTAGCGTAAATCATCATAGGGGACCTGAGTGACGGGGGAAAGAAAGACAGGAAGGAAGGAAGATCTCCACATAGGCGTTGGGGCTGGCCTGCCATCTGGGCAGCACAGAAAGTCACAAGAGGGGATGCTTCTTGAAATTGGGAGTGATGTCTTATCTATCTTCATACCCCCAGTGCGCAGCAGGGTTAGGGGTGTTTGGGGAGTTCATTAAAAGCTTGAAGAAGGCTGGGTGCAGTGGCTCACGCCTGTAATCCCAGCACTTTGGGAGGCCAAGGCAGGTGGATCACCTGAGGTTGGGAGTTCAAGACCAGCCTGACCAACATGGAGAAACCCTGTCTTTACTAAAAATACAAAATTAGCCGGGCGTGGTGGCGCATGCCTGTAATCTCAGATACTCGGGAGGCTGAGGCAGGAGAATCACTTGAACCCGGGAAGCGAAGGTTGTGGTTAGCTGAGGTCACGCCATTGCACTGCAGCCTGGGCAACAAGAGCGAAACCCCTTCTCAAAAAAAAGAGAGAAAAAAAAAGCTTGAATAATTACATCAAAGAGTGAAGAGAGGAAAGATGCCAGCCTCACACCCCACATATAGATATGCCTTCCCTCTTTCATGATCATTAACTGTGAAAATGAAGGCAGGCTCTACCTAGAAGCAATCTAAATAGGTGAATGTCAAAAGGAGAAAAGTGAGGACCAGAGTACTTTTCTAATTTTCTACATTTAATGGCAAGATTAATTGTCCCCTTTGAAAGTTCAAAGTGAATAAACAAAGCCCACAAGTTCATTGGTGTGAAACTTAGGGAGGGAGGTCACTGGAGGAAAGCCAGCAATGAAAGAATACTGTTGAGAGGCGTGGGCTTCCCAGGCCCAAGGGCTGGAGACAGAAGGATTTCTCAGGGCATCTGGGCCTGGTTCATTTTCCACACAAGGAAGAGGTGGTGGCCCTGCTGACTCAGTGTTTGGTTCCTGAACTAGAATAACCTTGATGAGGTGAATAGTCCCTTAATTGGAAGAGCAGTGATCATTAGCGTCAGTTTGGGAACTTACCTCAGGCGAGTCTGAAGTCTCTTCCTGCCGGTCCACAGCCTACCTGCCACGCTGTGAGGACACAGGTGTGGTCTGGTGGGGCCCGGGACACTCTCATGGGACTGACTCACTGTGTGAGTCTCTAGTTAGACGTCCTGAGCATCCATGGCTCTCACCTCACAGTTCTACTATCCTCAGGCTTTGGGCTGGTCCTGGGGTTGGCACTGCCTCATCCCAGCTGTGAGGCGCGCAGCCCTTCAGCGTGCACATGCCCCTTCTGTGGGATGGCACTGCATCACCCTCGGGAGAGGTGGCCCTCCTTAACGTGCATACGAACTACCAGAGCATCTCATTAAAATGCGCTGATTTGGTACGTTTGGGCGGAACCGAAGATTCTGCACTTCTCACTAGCTCCCAGGTACTGCCAGTGGTGTTGATCCATGGGCTCTGATTTGTACTATCAAGGCTTCAAATAATCTAGCTGTCAGGTAATGGGGAGTGAGAGTTGGAACCTGACCATGGGTTACACTCTTAAATTGTGGTCCCCCAAGCAGCAGCATCTGCATCACCGGGGAGCTTGTTAGAAACGCGCATTCTCAAGCCCCATCCCAGACCCCTCTGATTCACCCCTCAAAATCAAATAATTTTAACCCTCTCCCAACCTGGCTGGTTCCTGAACGTCCACGGCCTTTACCTTTGCGTTGGCCTCCAGGAAGTTGTAGAGGACGTTCACAGAGATAGTGAGGTCTCCGGTGTTAAAGGGGTACGAGCGATTCCATCCCTGGGGCCCAAATTTCCGTCTTTCCGCCACCACCGCGTGAAAGTAACAAAGAGCAAAGAGGATGCTCTTAAACTCCGTCTCCCGAGAACACATCTCCAGAGTGTCCTGAAATGACAGCATCGCTTTGAATGTTCACACACAGCTTCTCTTACACGGGGCTGGCTAGGGCGGGGTTACAATCAGGGTTCGTGTTGGAAAACGTTACCATATATTCTGGTTTGGGTTTGAGTTACAGTGAGACGACAGCCTGGGGGGAACGTGTGGAGGGGTCAGGCTTTAGTTGAGCATTGAATTAAGGTTTAGATTCAGGTTATATTAATGGGCTTTGGTTTAGGGTTCAAGTTTGCGCATATGAACGTGCTAATAAGGTTCACTCCTGTAGCTGATGGGGATCAGGGCGACATGCAACGAGAATGTTGTGTACCGGGGTGTGGGGTGTGGGTGCACATCCCATGGCGGCATCTCCAATATCTTCCCTTCCTACCATGCTCTTCTTGCCTGTTGCGGAACCGTAGCAGGTGTAATCACTGCCTTGGAGTTAAGCTTGGAGAAAGAGTACAGAGGGGACTGAATGCATTTTGCTTCTCGAATCTTTGTAGAAACATCCCCCGACCCAGAGTTGGGCTGCTGGACTCCTGCACTATGAGAGTGTCACGCAGTCAGTAAAATCTTCTGAGACTCTGACTGCCACGTGGTCTTCATCTTCCTTTAGGCTTCAACCAGGCCCCAAAGGTTTATGTTGGTTTAGCTGGCAGTGTCATCCTGTTGAATGGCCCATCTGACACATGCGAGCTGGCAGGGCTTCTGGGAAACCCGAGACGCACTGGTACTATTACAAGACGACAACCGAGAAGAAAACCTCCCCAGCAGCTGCTGGAACCTTCTCCTTGGATTCCCCCAAAGCGTGGTGTGGCAGATGGACTTTTAAGGTGATCCTATGGCCCCCACCCTGCTACGATTCATGCCTTTGGGTACTCCCCTGCCCAGGGAGGTGGAACTCCCAAAAGAGAACCAACAAGAAATAGTGCCTTCTTGAGAAGATGAAAGAAGCCTGAGCCGCAGACTTTGACAGTGCAACTTCATATACAAAGTTGGCCACCATGGGCTTGGACCTGGCTTTAAATAAATATGCTACAACATAAGCCTTGGAATTCCCAGTCATGGAAATGTAGCGGTCTGCATTTGAACACCGTGCCTTCGTATTCTGGGTCTCTCCGGAGTACAGTGTTCTCAAACTTGACTGTGTATAAGAATCTCCTGGAGGGTTCATTAAAACAGATTCCTGGGCCCCAGACGGAGACCATCCTAGCTAACGCGGTCTTCATCTTACTTTAGGCTTGCAGTGAGCCGAGATTGCGCCACTGTACTCCAGCCTGGGCTACAGAGCGAGATTCTGTCTCAAAAAAACAAAAAAAATCTGCATTTCTAACAAGTTTCCAGGTGCTGCTGCTGCTGCTGGTCCAGGGGCCATATTTGAAGGGGTCTAACATGCAGTTACATCTCAAATCCATATCCCGACCACTTGACACCTGGATTCTTTGAACGCTTGATACTCAAGATTCATGGAGATGTCAAGTGATATCATCTGATTGACAGTGTCATCCCCTTACCTGAAGACAGCCCGTCAGCGTGTGACCCAGTGTATCTTATCAATTACTTTTACAGCAACGCGCCCGTCTTCATCTTGGAATATTAGGTAACAGTAAACTTGCAGAAGGCTTCCCCACATCTCTTGCCAAAGAAATGTCCTGAGCTCTATCCCCCTGGGGTTATCTGGCAATGGAGAGTGGGGTTGCCCTGAGTGGGTATCAGGTGGGAACATTTTACCCACATCAGCATTGCTCTGTAACTCAACCAGCACCCCATTCCCTTCTGAGTTGCATGCTCTCCCCCTACCAGTTTGCATCAGCTGATTGCGAGGTGGGCTGTTATTTTTGCCTCCCTCCCGGGGCAGTACCTGAGTGAAGTTGTCCAGGGCCTTGTGTAGGTTGGCATGCATGCCCGTGGGGGGCTCACTGGTGATCTTAATGGAGTTCTCCAGGATGCCCTGGGGGATGATGTGGCTCTCAGGGGAGGGTGCCGGCTCTGCACTCATGAAGACCCTGAACTCTGGGTGGCTGTTCTCACTGTGCTCCTCCAGCTTCTTCTCCAGGGTGCTGAGCCACTTGGCCACCAGGTGAATGTTCTAGTGGGAAGGAAGGAGGCCCCGCCAATACAGGCATCTGCTTAGTTCTGTTAGCAGTAAACAGTTGTCAGGAAGGCAGCCAGAGTGGGGACTGGTCTTAGCATCAAATAATTTTAAAAAATTGTGGTAAGCCATAACATAAAATTTACCACCTCAAACCCTTTTTAAGTGTACAGTTAATGGCATTACATGCACTCACATGTTGTGCAACTCAATGACTTTTAAAGGCAGAAGTGTCTTAAACCACATCATAGAAAAGAGTTCTGAGATGCCCAGTAGTGAGGACCTCCCAGTATTCTGCAATTAAACTCTATCCCTCAAGCCTAAGGCTTTCCAGCATGATGTTTGTAAACTTGCCTGTGCATGGGAATAACCTGAAGGGCTTCTTAAAACACAGATTCTTGTGCCCCAGCCCAGGGTTTCAGATTCAGCAGGACCAGGATGGGGCCTGAGAATGTGCATTTCTAACAAGCTCCCTGGTGATGCAGATGCTGCTGGTCCGGAGACCACAATTTAAGAGTGTAACACGGCCGGGCGCGGTGGCTCACGCCTGCAATCCCAGCACTTTGGGAGGCCGAGGCGGGTGGATCACAAGGTCAAGAGATCGAGACCATCCTGGCTAACACGGTGAAACCCCGTCTCTACTAAAACTATAAAACATTAGCCGGGCGTGGTGGTGGGCGCCTGTAGTCCCAGCTACTCCGGAGGCCGAGGCAGGAGAATGGCGGGATCCCGGGAGGCGGAGCTTGCAGCGAGCCGAGATGGCGCCACTGCACTCCAGCCTGGGCGACAGAGCGAGACTCCATCTCAAAAATAGATAGATAAATAAGTAAATAAAAAATAAAAATAATAATAAAAAAGAATGTAACACATGGTAATGTTCCAAGTCTAACTCCCCATTACCGACAGCTAGATTACTTGAAACCTTGATGGTACAAATTGGAGCTCATGGATCTACATTGCTGGCAGTACCTGGGAGCTAGCTAGAAATGCAGAATCTTAGGTTCCACCCAAACTTACTGAATCAGCGCATTTTAATGAGATCCTCTGGTAATTCGTACACACGTTAACATTTGAAAGGCACTGATTTAAACTCTTTCCAGCTAGCTTTCCTTAGTCTTCTGTCTCCACTCTCCAAACCAGTCTGTTAATTGTTGCCAAACTTATCTTCCTAAAACACACTGAGGCACTGCTGCTCAAAGACCGAACAAGGCTCTCTACTCTAATCCCAAGCTCCTCCGTCTGGTCTTTGAGCTTGTCTCCTCCCCCCACATTTGATTGCTATCTATCTATCAAAACCTACATTTGTTTCTTACCACTGCTTTGCAGAATGCACCTTTCACTGTAGTTAGGAGAGTCACCTGGCTTCATTGCAATGTGTTTCATTATAATGGATAGATAAAAGCTCCTTGATAAATATTTGAGGAAGTAAGCATGCAAAGCCTTAAATACACAGATCAGAGCTGAGCCCAGCACTTGGTCCACAGTAATTTGGTCTTTTGAGTTCTGCCTTCTCTTCTGTAAGAAGAGAAATAACAATAACATCTGCCATACTTATTTCACAGAGTGGCTGCAGATAACCAAAGACATGGATTTGAAAGGGTTTTGTAGGACTGGGTGCAGTGGCTCACAGCTGTAATCCCAGCACTTTGGGAGGCCAAGGCGGATGGATTACTTGAGGCCAGGAGTTTGATACCAGTCTGGCCAACACGGTGAAACCCCGTCTCTACAAAATAAATAAATAAATAAATAAATAAATAAATAAATAAATAAAATAAAATAAAAATAAAAAGAAAGGGTTTTGTATACCGTAAAATGCGATGTAAGGGATAGTAGTAGTTGTTGAGATGAAAATTGGTTAAATTAAAGAATTTACTTATAATCAAATCAATTGGAGCAGAGTGTTTAGTGGGCTACTTGAGATCCAGGGTTTCTCGTGGCCAGCATCACCAGCAACCCACATGTAGGTAATTTGGCTCCTCCTTTCGAAACTCCAAGTTCTGCTACTGGGCAGGTCTGGCAGAAAGAATGTCTGTTGCTTGTGTATAGAACCCTGGGGTGGATTCAGAGATCCTCGAGGCTGCCCCACTGGGTTGATGGGCTTGGGTTGGGAAAACCACCTAACAGCTCCTATAGCCAAGAAGGAAGAGCGGGAAGACTGTGAGCCTTGCTCTGTCACCGAGGACCAGAGAAGCCAACTCTCCCAGAATAGAACCCCTAGCTCATCTGGGTCAGGGTCCTCGGGCAGCATTTCCCAAAAGTGCGCCATGGGATGTTAAAAGAGGTTAGTTAGATCCATAAAGAACGTCTGTGTTCCTGCACACCTACAACCATCTGATCGTCGACAAACCTGACGAAAACAAGCAATGGCGAAAGGATTTCCTATTTAATAAATGGTGCAGGGAGAACTAGCTATCCATATGCAAACAATTGAAACTAGATTCCTTCTTTATATGTTATAGAAACATTAACTCAAAACGGATTAAAGACTTAAATGTAAAACCCAAAACTAGAAAAACCCTAGAATAAAATCTAGGTAATATCATTCAGGACATAGGCATGGGCAAAGATTTTATGACAAAAATGCTAAAAGCAATTACAACAAAAGCAAAAATTAGCAAATGGGATCTAATTAAACTAAAGAGCTTCTTCCCAGGAAAATAAACTACCATCAGAGTGAAAAGACAACCTACGGACTGGGAGAAAATTTTTGCAATCTATCCATCTGACACAGGTCCAATGTCCAGAGTCTACGAGGAACTTAAATTTACAAGCAAAAAACAAACAACCTCATTAAAAAATGGGCAAAGAACATGAACTGACACTTCTCAAAAGAAGATATTCATTGCCATCAACAAACATATAAAAAGAAGCTCAACATTGCCGATCATTAGAGAAATGCAAATCAGAACCACAATGAGATACCATCTCGTGCCAGTCAGAACGCGGATTATTAAAAAGTCAAGAAACAACAGATGCTGGTGAAGTTTCAGAGAAAAAGGAGCCCTTTTATGCTGTTGGTGGGACTGTAAATTAGTTCAACCATTGTGGAAGATATAGAAGCAGAAATACCATTTGACCCACCAATCCCATTACTGGGTATAAGCCCAAAGGAATATAAATCATTTTATTATAAAGATACATGCATACGTATGTTCATGGCAGCACTATTCACGGTAGCAAAGACTTGGAATCAACCCAAATGCTCATCAATGATAGACTAGATAAAGCAAATGTAGTACATATATACCATGGAATACTATGCAGCCATAAAAAGGAACAAGATCATGTCCTTTGCAGGGAAATGAATGGAGCTGGAAGGCGTTACCCTCAGCAAACTAATGGGAGAACAGAAAACCAAACACTGCATGTTCTCACTTATAAGGGGGAGCTGAACAATGAGAACACATGGACACATGGGGTAGCGAACAAACACACTGAGGCCTGTTGCGGGATGTGGGGAGAGGGAGAGCATCAGGAAGAACGGCTAATGGATGCTGGGCTTAATACCGAGGTGATGGGTTGATCTGTGCAGCAAACCACCATGGCACACGTTTACCTATGGAACAAACCTGCACATCCTGCACATGTACCACAGAACTCAAAACAAAAGTTGAGGAAGAAAAAAAAGAAGGTCTGTGTTCAATGGAATTTGGGAGATACTGGATGGAATAAGACTTCTATACCAAAGGATTCTCAGAACCATTATCCTATTGATATCATTGAAAATATCCTTGCCGGGTGCAGTGGCTCACACCAGCACTTTGGGAGGCCAAGCACTCCCAGCACTTTGGGAGGCCGAGGCAGACAGATCAATCGAGACCATCCTGGCTAACACGGTGAAACTCCGTCTCTACTAAAAATACAAAAAATTAGCCAGGCATGGTGGCGGGTGCCTGTAGTCCCAGCTACTTGGTAGGCTGAGGCAGGAGAATGGCGTGAACCCGGGAGGCAGAGCTTGCAGCAAGCCGAGGTGGCGCCACTGCACTCCATCCAGCCTGGGCCACAGGGCGAAAAAAAAAAAAAAAAAAAAATCCTTAAAACGAATTTGTATGTAGTATTTTCCAATGTTTGAAATAGGAATTTAAGTGTATTCCTCCCCCACTTTTTTTTTTTCAGATAATCTCTCAGGTTTACAGGCCGGGAAACATTGCTGGGTAGGATTCCAGTCCAGTCTAGTTCAGTATGTCAGGAAATTCTTAGAACCAGGTAGCTATGATTCCTACAAGAGATTTCACAAACCAGTGAGGATCTTTCGTTTCTGATAGCACTTTACAGTTTGGACAGATGATGTCTATTCAATACTCCAATGCTCTATTCAGGGGGAAAGGCAGGCCTCCAGACTGTTTGGCACAATTTTCCTTTGGAAATGTCCAATCACCAGGAAATAAAGAGGAAACACCGAGTTCAGTGTTGGAGAGCTCCGAGCAACCACATCAGTACAAGATTTTGGTGCCCTGCAAGGCCAGTAGGTGCTGGGGGGCAATGGGTGCAGCAGAGGCAGCACCACAGTCTCAGAAACAGACTCTGGTGTCCATGACAAGTGCCTGGGTTCCCAGCACTGGTGTCCGGAGAGGTCTCTTGGCAAATGTGCCTGAGAGGGTGGGAAGGTCACACCTTCAAGCACTGTGCTGACCCATGAGGGAGGAAGGAGGAAACTCAGCTGTTATTATCTTTTCTCCTGAACTTCCTGATGTTTCTGGAAAAGGAGGCCCCGGAGGGGCAGATCTCTCAGTTGCTAGGCTCCAAATAAATAATAGAATAATTAAGGACAAAGACCCAGCAGCAAGATGTGATGTCACCAGTAATCAGGAGATGGGGGAGGTTCATGGCAGTGAGAGCCAGGAAGAAAGGGAGTGACTGGCTTTTGCATTTATTCTTTCTTTAATTTCTTCATGGATTCCTTGACCCACCGGCCTTTTGTTTCAGTGTCTGCTATGTTCAAGGCAGTAGGCTCGGTGATAAAAGGTAAAGAAGGAACATCTCTTTACCTAAAAAGTTTAGTGGAGAATACAATCATAAAATAAATCATGTCAACATAGCAATGGAGCTCTAATAGAAGATTCCAAAATGTTCTAGGAGAAAAGAGGAGCAAGCTATGCATTCTGCCACAACTCCAGCATCTATACAAGTGGCATAAAAGAGGAATAGGCAGGCAGGCCCTCATAGATGGATCTGAAAAGGTTTTGTGTACTGTAAAATGCTATGTAAGAGTTAGTAGTAGTTAGGCTGGGTGCAGTGGCTCACGCCTGTAATCCCAGCACTTTGGGAGGCTGACACAGGTAGATCACTTGAGGTCTGGAGTTCGAGACAAGCCTAGCCAACATGGTGAAACCCTGTCTCTACTAAAAAGACAAAAATTAGTTGGGCGTGATGGTGTGCTCCTGTAATCCCAGCTCCTCAGGAGGCTGAGGCAGGAGAATAGCTTGAACCCGGGAGGCGGAGGTTGCAGTGAGCCAAGATTGCGCCATTGCACTCCAGCCTGGCAACATAGCAAGACTCCATCTCAAAAAAAAAAGAGTTAGTAGTAATTGCTGAAATGAAAATTGGTTAAATGAAATAATTTAATGGGGGTTAAATAAAATGTAATAGGGCTTAATAGAGAGGGCTAAATTCTTTAACCCTCTCTTCTGATAGAAGAGAGGTAGGCTTTTTTTCCTTGTAACTGTTTGGTGAAATTATCCATAGTAGGGGTTCCAGATTTCCAAACACCAACATGAGCTCTCAGTGAAGAGGCTAAGGTTGCTGCCATATCCTAGTCATGCCCGTGACAAAGAGCATATGACACACAGCCCAACAGAAAGGCACAGCAGAGGAACGTGCCATGAAATTCACAGGAAGAAACCAGCTGTTGAAAGCATCCAGCTGCCAGGGCCTTCAACGTAAATGCTAACTTCCTGAATGCCTATCAGAGTGGGAATCTGTTCCTTTTATAAGCAGAGCTATTTAAACTAGAGAGAGTGGCAGAGCAGGTGAGGGGAGAAGGATTGTTCCCGGATGTGGTCTGGGGAAGAGAACATATGAGTGAGGAGAACTGGCAAGAGAGAAGATGAAGAAATGAAGGAGACAAGAGTGTGAAAGGACAGGTGGGGAGAAGCTAAGAGTGGATGGAGATGCCCAGTGAGCGTGGGATGAGGCAAGTATGGGTCGAGATAACCACAGGGTAGAGGAACATACCTGCAAAATAACCCAGTGACCTTTCTTGGCAGCGAGGTCCAGTGCAGCCTCAGCCACCACTTCCTGTCCTTGCCCCAAAGACACGTTGTGAAAGTTCTGATTGTTGAAGGTGTATCCAAGTTTTCTTCCTGCAAGGGGGATGGAGTCGTCGTTATTATTTCTTGGGTCTAATGATGGATGTTTGACGTTCATAAAGAAATGCACACGCTCAGATCACCTCTCAAACACAGGCATGCCCGAATCTATAACCCAAGCGTCATATACTGACCCTTTTCCTTCACAGGAGGCTACTTCTTCTAGCTTTTGGTTCTCATATAAAAGGAAGCACTTGAGCCGGGCGTGGTGGCTCATGCCTGTAATTCTAGCACTTTGGGAGGCTGAGGCGGGTGGATGACCTGAGGTCAGGAGATCGAGACCAGCCTGGCCAACACAGTGAAACCCCATCTCTACGAAAACTACAAAAAATTAGCTGGGCATGGTGGGAGGCGCCTGTAATCCCAGCTACTTGGGAGGCTGAGGCAGGAGAATCACTTGAACCCAGGAGGCAGAGGTTGCAGTAAGCCGAGATCATGCCATTGCACTCCAGCTTGGGCAACAAGAGTGAAACTCTGTCTCAAAAAAAAAAGAGGAAGCACTTGTTCAGACCAAAATCACTTCACTCTTCCCTCTGCACTTAATTCCCAAAGAGGGGTAGGATTGCTGATGCTATTCTTTACGTGTCTTATCTGCAGACCAGACATTGAGCCACGATTCTAGGGAGTGCTGATGAGAGAAGGGTGGAAGAGTAGCAAGCATGTGGGTGTGGTCCTTTGTGGCTTGCCTTGTCCTCTGAATAAATGTTGTGTCTTCTCTGGATCTTTACTGGGAGGTGTGGCCAGTAGGGGCAGGATTCAGGTAGTTCTGGCTTCCGGTACTTTTTGCCCTATTAACTTCCTCTCCTATCATTCCTAACACATAGAAAAGTGTTATCTCATCATTTTGCACGAATTAGAGTGAAGAGGGGCAAGACACAAAGCTGTTTAATTGTGTAGGTGTGAATTTTCTGTTGGATGTATATCAGGGTTGCTGGTGTTGCAGGTGGATTAAGGAATGACCATACACACAAACGTGGCAGCCATACCATTGGAGCAAGGCCAATGGGCTTCAGCTGCTCTCCAAGCCCAAGGGAAACAACCCAAAGAAATGATCCTAATACAGAGAATATTAGCTCTTGGCACAATCCAATAAAGTGTAGAGAAATTACATAATATTCTTTAGATAAAAGAATCATAAAAATGTATAATGCCATGAAGGAATCACTAAGCAACGTTTCTAGCAAGGTGAAGTAGACAAAAGGGGAGAAATTGAAAAAGAGGAACAATAAAAATCCATACTTAAAAAAAATTTAGTTTCTGAGGAACTAAAACTGAACATGTAGTTTGATACGTGTGCAAGAAAATTTTTGGAAATAAGGGTTAATATTGAATATTTCTTTTAAATATAAAAAGTGTATAGACTGTCATTGAAATGTACAGGACAATGCAAGATGATGGCTTTTTTGTAGTAAGAAATAGATATTGGAGACTTAACTGAGATGAACCCAAGAAACACTGTTATTAAATTATAAATCTTAGTTGGCAAAACATTTGATGTCAGTTTTGGAAGTGGGGAGATAAACAATTCATTCCAGAGAAAATACCAGGATAAAAAGTGTGGGGATTTTTAGATGTCTTCTGTGACATTTCTGCTCACAAAAGGGCCTGTTTATTTTGTTTATTAGCAACAGAAGGATATGGGCAAAGAGGTTATTTAATAAAGATTAGTTTGAAAACTCCAGACTGGAGGGATCATCCTGGGCAAAGCTTAGCACTGCAGAGCCCGGCTGGGATCAGTCTGCATTAATTTGGGCTTGAGGCATGACAATGAGGCGGAAAAGAAAGAAATGGATCTTGGAAACATTGAGAAGGGGAAAAATGGATGGGATTCTCACAGACTGAACACTCAGCCAAAGGTGGCCGCATCCCATGTGACCCTCATGGGTGCGGAGGTAACCTTGTGAGGTCTTTCCCTTTGCAACTGTGAGGCTCTTAGATGGCTTGCTGGGCCTTGAGCAAGTCCCTCCAGTTTCTCAGGATTTCACCTTCAGATTGTTCTATGTTGGTGCTTCCACGCCTCCACCCCTACTGCTTGTGACTCATCTCTCCATTTCTGACTTTCCTTCCAGCTCTACATATGGTGGTGTCACCTGGAACTGTGCCCCACTGTCAACCTCTTTTAACATCTTTACAGTGTGTGTCACCGACCTCTAGTCTCTCTGAGGACAATGCAACTTCAACAGTCCTCTCCCTAGTTCCATACCCGTATGGTGCTGGCGTTGGAAGGGGAACATTTTTTCTAGTGTTTTCTTGCTACCTGGAGGCTATTTCTTCTCTGCCCTCATAAAAACAAAACAAAACAAAACAAAATGAAACAACAACAAAAACACTTTTCTTTTCTTTTCTTTTTTTTCACCCAGGCTGGAGTGCAGTGGCACGATCTCATGTCACTGCAACCTCCACCTCCCAGATTCAAGCGATCCTCCTGCCTTAGCCTCTCAAGTAGCTGGGATAACACCCAGGCTGGAGTGCAGTGGCACAATCTCACCTCACTGCACTCTCCACCTCCCAGATTCAAGCGATCCTCCTGCCTCAGCCTCCCGAGTAGCTGGGATTACAGGTGCCTGCCACCACACCTGACTAATTTTTGTATTTTTAGTAGAGACAAGGTTTCACCATGTTGGCCAGGCTGGTCTCAAGCTCCTGACCTCAAGTGATCCACCCACCTCGGCCTCCCAAAGTGCTGGGATTATAGGCGTGAGTCACTGCGCTCGACCAAAAGTCCCTTTCTCACTGAAAGTGCATGTCATCTGGTTTTATAATTTACTGACTTTTATGTTCTCTGCCTTCTACCAACTTTTCAGTGAGTCTCATTTGTATTAGGGGCTTTGGAACTTGGTTCCTGTTTCATTATCATGTTGGTAAACTCTAATGGCACTATGGATGACTCAGACAACAGCCAGACTCATGCTTCTTCATCTTTCTTTTTTTCTTTTCTTTTCTTTTTTTTGAGATAGAGTCTCGCTCTGTCACCCAGGCTGGAGTGCAATGGCGCGATCTCGGCTCACTGCAAACTCTACCTCCCAGGTTCAAGCAATTCTCTTGCCTCAGCCTACTGAGTAGCTGGGATTACAGGCGCCCACCACCATGCCTGGTAAATTTGTGTATTTCTAGTAGAGACAGGGTTTCACCATGTTGGCCAGGCTGGTCTCAAACTCCTGACCTTGTGATTCCCCTGCCTCGGCCTCCCAAAGTGCTGTGATTACAGGCATGAGCCACCGTCCCCGTCCTCATCTTCCTTATCTTGAAAGAACTTAACTCCGGCCATAATCCCAGCACTTTGGGAGGCCGAGGCGGGCGGATCACCTGAGGTCGGGAGTTCAAGGCCAGCCTGACCAACATGGAGAAACCCCATTTCTACTAAAAATATAAAAGTAGCCAGGCATGGTGGTGCATGCCTGTAATCCCAGCTACTGAGGAGGCTGAGGCAGGAGAATTGCTTGAACCCGGGAGGCGGAGGTTGTGGTGAGCCGAGATCGTGCCATTGCACTCCAGCCTGGGCCACAAGAGCAAAACTCCATCTCGAAAAAAAAAAAAAAAAAAAAAAAAAAAAGAAAGAAAGAAAGAACTTAACTCCATTTCATTTCTGCTGCCGACTCCCAGTGGCCACACCCAGGGCTCTCCCATCATGGAGATCTGTCCTGTGTCTGAAACGTGATTCTTCCAAGTCCACTCATGACTTTTACTTCCTACTTCCCAGATGTTTACCCCATCTATTTTTCTACTTCAGTGAAATGTTGAGTCCTTTGGTCCCTTCACTTTTTTCTAATTTCACCTTTACCTCCTCTTATTTTAATATGGACCCAATAATCCTTAATTTGAGCCAAAATCCTCAACTTCATTGCCTCCTTCTACTTCCGCACTGACTACTCAACTTTCTAAGACCCCAACTCTGAGTTTAAGTGTTAATGAAAGGGGTAATTCACATGTTTGGTGAATTGGCACCATCACAAGCTTGTAATTTTCAATTTCGAAGCGATTTGGTACTCTTTCAATGTGTCCAGAAGCCGGCTGTGTTACCCATTTCCCTCTGTCATTATGTCTCCTAATGGACCTCTCTTCTTATGCTCAGCAGTTTGCTCTACTAATTCCCTGAAAAAACGTACGCCCTCTGGTGGACACTCCTCCATTTACTGCCATTTTGTCTGCCTCTCTGTACACCGCCCTCTCAATGGAAAAGATGTCCTCCTCCCTTCCTGCCTGTCACTTTATCTGTCATTTAAATCCCACCTCTTTTTGTATCTTTAATACTATTATCATTTTATTTTTTAAGACGGAGTTTTTCTCTTGTCACCCGGGTTGGAGTGCAGTGGCAAGATCTCGGCTCACTGCAACCTCCTCCTCCTGGGTTCAAGTGATTCTCCTGTGTGTCAGCCTCCCAAGTAGCTGAGATTACAGGCACGTGCCACCACTCCCGGCTAATTTTTGTATTTTTAGTAGAGATGAGGTTTCACCATGTTGGCCAGGTTGGTCTCAGACTCCCGACCTCCAGTGATCCACCTGCCTCGGCCTCCCAAAGTGCTGGGATTACAGGCATGAGCCACTGCGCCCGGCCCTCTTTTTGTATCTTTAACCTTTATCTCTATTCACTCTTCTGCTCCCCAGCACATCCACAAATCAGTTTCACTCATCACAAAAAAGCAATACTCCATGAATCCTGAATCCTCTCTCTAAAGACTATACTTGCCTCAGCTTATCTATCTTTTACTTGCCTTTTAAAGAAAAGAGGGTTGGGTGTGGTGGCTCATGCCTAGAATCCCAGCACTTTGGGAGGTTGAGGTGGGCAGGTTGCTTGAGCTCAGGAGTTCAAGACCAGCCTGGGAAACACAGTGAGACCCCATCTCTACAAAAAATACAAAAAATTAGCCAGGCATAGTGGCATATGCCTATAGTTCAGCTACTCAGGAGGCTGAGGTGGGAGGATCACTTGATCCTGGGAGGCAGAGGTTGCAATGAGCCAAGATTGTGCCACTGCACTCCAGCCTGGGCAACACAGTGAGATCCTGTCTCAAACAAACAAACAAACAAACAAACAAACAAAAAACCCAACCAAATACAAGAAAACAGAATGGGGCCAGGAACAATGAAAATGAGGCCTAAAGCAAAATTTCGATAATCGGCTGCAAAGACACTGAATGAAAAACTGTTTCTTTGAACATATCTGGTAGCAGGCCTACAAAAATCTCAGAACGTTGGAGAGAAAAGGAGACAGTAGAAGGCAAAGGCGGGATACACAGCTTCTTTCTGATCAGGAAATGGAAAGACAGAACTCATTTTGTTAAAGTCAGGTAACTGGGCAAAGAAGGACGGAGACCAAGCGAGATCATGCTGCAGACAAGTGAAAGAAAGACCAGAGAAGATGCTGGCGTCAGGGTAGGAAGGGGAGGGCCGAGGAGGAGACTGTTCTTTGAAAGGATGTGACAAAAAGATGTGAAGGAAGGGCAAACTGAGCTGCCCCAAAGAACAGATGCACCATCATCAACATCGTAACGCCGTGCAATGCTACTGTACTCTCGGCTTTTCAAAGCCTTTGCATATCTGAGATTTTGTTTTTATCTTCCCAGTAACCCAAGGAGGCAGGTATCATGGGTGACTGAGAACAAGGGGGAAGTAGATGAAGCAAAAGCAGAAATAAACAAGCAAATAAGGAAGTGTGACTCCTTTAGGGAAAAAGATGATGAGAAAAGAGAGGCGAGTACAGTGAAAGCTCTGTTAAAGGCTTAATCAGAGAAGGCAAGAAGGAAAGCAGTGAGGGTGGATAGTGGCAGCTTTCGTGTTAAAATAGAGGCCAACCATGCGTGGTGGCTCATGCCTGTAATCCCAGCACTTTGGGAGGCTGAGGCAGGTGGATCACCTGAGGTCAGAAGTCCCAAACCAGCCTGGCCAACATGGTGAAATCCCGTCTCTACTAAAAATACACAAATAGGTCACGAAGTCCCAAAACAGCCGGCCCAACATGGTGAAATCCGTCTCTACTCAAAAATAAAATACACACAAATTAGCCAGGCATGGTGGTGGGCCTGTAATCCAGCTACTCGGTCGAGGCTGAGGGCAGGAGAATCACTTGACCCAAGAGGTGGAAGGTCTTGGCAGAAGAGCTGAGAATCGTGCCTTGCACTCCAGCCTGGGCGCACAGAGGGCAAACTCCGTCTCAAACAACAAACAACACCAACAAAAAAAGAAAAAGAACAGAGGCAAGACGAAGTGATGATTTCCCCTTCCTCATCCTCCTGCTCTCTCCCCACTCTTCTTTCTCCACTTCCTTTCTTTCCCCTCCTCCTCCTCACAATTGTTTGAGAGAGAATCCTGGATGGACTGACAGTTGCCACAAAAGTGGCTACAAATTATAGATCCTACCATCAAAGGGAATTATTAATCTGGTCATGGATAAACTTCAGGGGCTGAAGAAGGCTAAATTATACGATTATGTTGTGTGTCGGGTATGTCACTTTTTCAGGAGTTGGACGGAAGGACAAAGGACCAAATCTTGAATTCTGAGCTCTAGGGTTTTAAAAACTCTACCAATATTAGAACGGCCTTGCTGAGCAAAATATTCATAAATGGACGTAAGACTCTAAATCAATATGCAAGAGAATGATTCCAAGCTTATTTAAGAGTCTATAATGGAGGAACGACAGTGAATGTGGATACACATGATCGCACAAGCAATAAAACGTAGTTTACTTAATTAAACTCGGGGCTTGGGACATGGGGGGGAAGTGTTAGATCGAGCCATGTGGATTCCAGACTTGAGACTAGGAGCCATCAGGCCAAGCGATTAATTCAAAGATGAAATGGGAAATGTGGATGTCACACAGAATACTCTGTCGCTAAATAGGTTGAACTTAGAAACATAATCAAGTAACCCACAGAAGGCAGGGGGAAGGAAGAGACAGAGAGAGCAGGGCACAGGTGCCTAAAGTCACCTCCTCTAGTTGATGACAGCCATACTGCTCTGGTAAACGAAAAATTCATTAAAGATAAGGGCCAGGGCGGGCTGAGATAACGTATTCTTGAGAGCAAACAATGCTAGAAATCAGGGAAGTCAGTTTGCTGAGATGACAGGAGTCTGCAAACTACATGTGGAGTAGTTTGAGGTTCATTGCTAAGAACAATAAGGCAATTGCTCTAACAGGGTATATGAGCTTCAAAAAGGGAAATACTGAAAAAATGAGGAAACTAATTTATCTGTATAAAGGAACAAAGCTCGGGGACAGAAGGAACCTACAGATTATAAAGTGTGAAAGTTCAGGAAAAATACTTAGCTCTGATAACACGGTTTCTGTACATTCAATCATTCATATCATTGTTAGTCTTTTCAACAATATCTCTGTGCTAAGTTACGCGCTATAGGTAGTGTAAAAAAATGAACAGCTGACATGATCATCAATGTTAGTGAGCAAGCCCCCTGGTACGGCAACATAGAGTACATTGCGTAATCAATGAACAAATTAAAATTGTATTAATGCTCTGACAAATTATATAGAGTGCTCGTAAGATCTCTAGTTGGGCAACAACGTGTCTCCAAGGGAGCCGCCCAGAAATGGCTTCGTAATTTGGGCGGATGGTAGCGCACGATCTTGAACGCTGGCTTTGAAATCATTCAACTAGATCAGGGAAAATTTCTGTGCAGTGTCCTAGTTAGGGAAGGCTCTGTGTTCGACAGGATCCCCTAAAGGCTGGACAGAAAAAGCACTGCGCATGGCAGGCGCCGACAACGATCATCGTTAGATCTTGGAACGTCCGCCAGTGGACAACTCACTAAGAAAGCTGTTTTTTTGTTTTTTTGTTGTTTGTGCGTGTGTGTGTTTTGCTAGTTTTGTTTTTGAGACGGAAGTCTTGCGTGTCACCAGTTTTGAAAGTGCTGCCGTGATCCTCGCTCATCCTGCAACCGATCCGTCTCCCAGGTTCAGGCGAGTCTCCTGCCTCGCCCTCCCGAGTAGCTGGGGCTCGACAGGGGCACACTACCCATGTCCGCCTAATTTTTGTTAGTTTTAGTAGGATGGGGTTTCAGCATGTTGCGGTGGTAATCGATCTCTTGCCTTATGATCTGCCTCCTTCCGGCCTCCCCAAAGTGCTGGATTCCGGTTGGCCACTGCAGCCTGCCCGGAAGTCACTAGAAAAGTTGTAAGTGAAATAAGTGATACACCTCATCCATTGGACGAATTCATCAACATGACTTCTGGCCTGAGATCATGGGCAAAGGTTTGCGAGGAAGAAAAGAGTGGGATGAGCTAGGAGGGCTAAGTGTCATAGGCGATAAAAACTATTAGTGATTCAGAATTAGGTGGTAATAATGATACAATAGAGACATTAGATGGATTTGAAGCAATATTTAGGAGGTAATCATAGAATTAAATGTGTGAGTTGGGAAGAGGTGTGCTAGATGACTTGACACACAGGTTTCTGGCATGAGAACACTCTGTAATGGGGCTGGCATTTACTAATATAACAGAAAAAATGCTTAGAAGCCTCACGGTTTTGTGA